CCTCCCCCTCTCTCCCTATTTATTTCAGAACTCCCTTCCCCTCCCCTATTTCTGAAGAAGGGTCTAGGCCCGAAACGTCAGCCTTCCTGCTCCTCTGATGATGCTTGGCCTGCTGTGTTCATCCAGCTCTACACCTTGTTATCTCAATGTCTTGAGGGTTGCAAGTGTTCTGGGGAATGTGTAGTTGGGAATGTGTGAGGTAAGTATGGGGTCACGTTAATACTTACATAGGAGTTAGAGTACGTATTTAATAGTCTACCATTTCCTGACTAACTATTTTAACTTAATTTTATCAGTGCTGTTCAATTTTTATGGACACTTTGAGGGCATGAAGGAATAACCCAGAGGAATATTTTAATTTCTTGGAAAATTCCTTCGGAACTGCTATTCTTCAGAGTCCCCAAACTCCTATTTGTGCTGGCGTAGTGACAGTCTGTCTGACCAGCAGGAAATCTGTCACCATGTATGGGGGAAGACGATGTTAACAGCCAGCACAGGAGAAGGGAATGAAGGAAAGATCCTTTGGTGCAATTGCCGGGAGTCTGTCTGTATTTACAGTGTCGATGCAGAAATCGTAGATATTCATGGAAACCTCTGGCTATGAACAGTCATTTGCAAGCTCCACCAGTAAGAGCTATCTTATTGAGCTGAATAATGAAGTTGAACTTAGAGGGGAATGGTTTTCATGTTGATAAAGAAGGTAAAGTAATATTGCTTGATCATAATTACAAAGGATGCCAGTGGTGACTGTGAGTAAGAGTGTTTTAACGCAAACAAGGAACAAGATTAGACCCCTCTGTCCTTCAAGCATGCTCTTCATTCCGTAAGAAAATGGCTGATCTGATTTTAGCCTCAATCCGACATTCCTGTATATCCCTAATAATTTTTCGTCCCTTTGATAATCAAGAATCTATCTAGCTCTGTCTTAAAAAAAATTAAAGATTCTGTATCCACTGCCTTTTCAGGAACGGAATTCCAAAGGCTTACAAGCCTCCTGAGAGCAACATGTTTCCACATCTCTATCTTCATCTTTAAATGGGTCCCCCTTACTTTTAAGATATGCCCTGTTTCGATAATATATAGTATTTAATAAACAGACAAATAAACCATGAAGTAAAAACCTATTCCGACAAATTGTTAAAATAGTGACTGGTGATTTTGTAATTAGAAAGTCGCATCACTATTTTTGAAGAAGTAGTTAATCCTCCAGTATCATAGAAATGTACAGATGCCTGTGCTAGCACTTTGTGCTTAGTCCCACATCAATGCTTGTCTGTAATCCAGTGTTATTGCAATGAAATTTGAACAACAAAACTTCAGTGTTTGAAATCTTATAGAATGAAAGCAAAGTATCAGCTTATTGATGGGTCATAAGATCACTTGTTTATAATCTTGTTCTCTGGGAAATGTTGATATGATCTATGGTTTGGTGAACTTTGAGTTTGACATAGACTTAACCTGAAAAGCTGAATTCACTTTCTTGACATTTGAAGTTTGTAGAATAGAATAGAATAGAATAGAATATCCTTTATTGTCACACGTACTGAAGTGCAGGGGTACAATGAAAAGCTTACAATGTTGTCTCTCATGGTGCCATCTTGGGTACAAAGTACCTAGGTACAAATCTTAGATATAAAAAGAAGAATTAAAAGGAAAAGAAGTTGCATTACCTTACAGTGATTCATAGTATAAGTTAGAAATAAGACATCAAAGACTTAATTAAAAGGATAAGCATTACAGTCAGATAAACATTACATTGCAGTAGCTCAACGCAGGGACTTCCACATGTGGTCTGACTGGCCTCGCAAGTCACTGACCGTCCCCGCTCCACTCTGGGAGAATTCCTGGCTCCTCTTTGAATATTGCTGATCAGCAACAATATGTCCATCTGATCAGGGACTTCAGCTTGGTGGATTATCAAAAAATAGCATCTCAGGAAATGGGGTGCCCCTTCAAACTGCACTTATTTTAATATATAGTATTTCCTTATTACTGAACTGAATTCTTAGTTTTAATGTTGTTTAGATCAACCTTTTGAAATTATGTAGAAATTGAATAAAGTTATTCATCTGACTCATTTTCTCTCTGATCAGCATAAAGCAAGCTGTAGTGTTAATCAATGGAATCGATGCTGCTAAATTTCCCCGCCTGCTGTCTCGCATTCTTCAGAAACTTCACTTGAAGGTACTTGATGAAAAATAGAAATGTTTCCTATATGGCAGCAGACTATCACAATGAAACAACTAAATGTTAATGCTGTCATGATACGAGCTAATAATACTTTGAAAGGTATTAGTTCCCTTTACAAATGGATTGCTTTTGAGTGTGGCCCGATTTACTTTAAATAACAACATAATTCAGTCCATGTAACAGAATGGGTGCTTTATATTTAAAAAAAACTGATTTTTCTAATTTTGGGATATATTTGTTCCTCCCTTCATTACTAATTAGAACTCTTGATGTCATGTACAATATTACGTTCCCACTGTCTTTTTAATATTTAATTAAACCAGACTTATTTTCATATGTATGTTGATCAGTAAAGAATGTTCCTAATAATAAAAACAGAAAATACTGAAAAACTGCTAAGATAATGTCATTTACCCCTCAGGCCTGTTCTGTTCATAGTTCAATGGCTGCTCTGTGACCTAACTCTTTATACCCACCTTTGTCCCATGGGCCTTTTGATATGTTTAAACCTTCTGTCCAGACGTGTTATTACACACCTTTGGAGCAGATGGGATTTGACCCAAGGCCGCTGAGCCCCCTCCATGAGCTTTTAGGTTTTTCAATCACCCTGCTCTGACATGATATAACACACCTTTGGAGCAGATGAGACTTGAACCTGAACCTTCTGGACAAAAGATAGGGCCACTGTTTTAGATCCCTGTGGTGAGATTTGCATCTCTGTCCCCAGATGATTGGCCTGGACCATTCTTAATGTGCCACAATCTCTCCAGCCTATGGGCCTTATAATTTTTGAGTAACTGCCTTAAAATGAATTTTGATCTTGCATCAATTGCCATTTGCATCACTTGCTTGAAGAACTGTTTCATTGTTTTACTCGTGAAAGGTCTGCTCTAATTTTTGTACCATGAGTGTGTTCTGGAGTTCTCAAATAGCAGAGATGTTTCTATACATCACAAAAAAATTTCCTTAACATTTGAAGACTCAGTTAGCTAGTTCCTCACCTTCTGACTTCCAGGGAATATAATCTTACCTTGTTTAATATCTTCTTATAGCTTAGTTATATAGCCTACAGTTAGGGAGCACGCTGGTATCTCTCTGCTGTGTATGTGAATGCAGGATGTATAATGCCTTCAAGGTGACACTGAGCAGCTGCTGAGTTCTCTGACAGGTTGAGTAGACTGCCAGCATAATGGTTCTAGTAACATAATTGGTTAAAAGGTTCATATGTTGCTGGCTGATTTTAGGGAACCGGTATTCTTCGGAGCCAGGGGGAGGCTAGCAAGCAGGACCTCAAAGGTAGTAATCTCTGAGTACCTCCAGTGCCTTGAGTTGCTGAGTACAAAATAGGAGGATAGAGCAAGTACATGAATAATTAGAGTCCTTGTAGAGGGGGCAGAGTTTAGATTCCTGGGTACCTGGATAACTTGGTGGTCCTGTTTGGTTGGGATGCAGTGTCCTTGTGGGCTGTATACTTGTGATGTTGGACTGGATTTAAACTACTTTGGCAGGGTGGGAACATCAGAGAAGGTAAGCAAGGTGTATAACTGATTGGGAGAGACAGCACAAGATTGTAATATCTCCAAATATTGTACTACGCTGAAAAAAAAGTGGATGCCCTTGAACTGGTCTTTAGAGTTAATAAATAATAGATGTACTATTGTACCAATTACTTGGAATTATGTGCAGGAGCAAGTTTACAAGATAATTAAAGAGAAGTGCAAGGAGTATAGTTATGGGGAACTTTACGGTTACTGTGTTCTATATTAGGATAGCTAGTGTAAAGTGCAGAAGTGTTTCTGAGGTGAGTTCAGGAGAATGTTCTTGATGAGTGGGTCAAAATCATCGATGAGGATGGAGGAATTGCTGGATCTGGTTCTGGGGAATGAGGTCAGTTAAATGAAACATTTGGGATGAAGAGTGAGGGATTGAAATATCTATTTAATTATAGATTTGGGTTAGCTATGGAAAAATTAAGGAACAACCCATAGAAAAATATTGAATAATTTCAGTAAGAGCCAATTTAAAGGAAATGAGATGGATCTTTCGCTAATCATAACCAAGATTCATGGGCAAACCTCAAACAGAAAAGTGGACTGGCTTTTAAAGAAGTATTTTTGAAGTGCATTCTTGTAGAGATGAAAATTGGTAAAGAGAAAACCAGAGCTCCTTGGATAACAAAACAGGTGGCGACTAAGACAAAGCAAAAAAAAATGTATATGGCAGATGTCAGGTTGAGTAAACAAGTGAGAACCAGGCCAAATATAGAAATTTCAGAGGGAATATGAAAAAATAATAAGGAGCGATGGGAGAGAGTAAAAGGAGAAGTCGTCTTCTAACAGCAACGAGAGTCCAAATGTTGGCTTTAGGCATATACCTTCTATCCTCTCCTGTCTCCCTCAGACTGGATCCCACCACTATTGATCCACCCAATGTAATATTTCAGCCCCACTGTTACCCTTGAACTTCTTTGCTACCCTAGTAGCTTTTTAAATTTCATTTAAGGGATATGGTTGTCTTTGACTGGGCCAGCATATAATGTGAACCATAGTTGCCCTTAAAGTGATGATGAGTATCCTCCATGAACTGCTGCAGTTCGTGTGTTGTAGGTAAACACAAAATACTGTTAAGGAGGGAATTCCAGGATTTTGACACCGAAGGGATGGTGGTGCACTTGCGCACACAAAAGCAGAACAGATTCACACCCCATCACTACTCTTAATTATCAGTCAGGTGATGGAAGATGTCATGAACAATGCTATCAAGCAGCACTTGCTTAGCAATGACCTGCTCATTATGCCCAGTTTGGGATCCACCAGCAGCACTCAGCTCCTGACCTCATTACAGCCTTTGTTCAAACAAAGGAGCTGAATTCCAGAGGTGAGGTGAGACCGCCCTTGATACCCATGTTGCATTTGACCAAATGTAGCAACAAGGAGCCCTAGCAAAACAAGTCACTTGGAATCAGGTTGATCTTTGCTGGTTAGAGTCATACCTGGTACATCGAAAGATGTTGTGCTTGCTGGAGGTCAGTCATTTTAGCTCCAGGACATCTGTGCAAGAATTCCTAGTGACTCAGGCCCAACATCTTAAGCTGCTTCATCAACAACTTTCTGTCTATCATAAGGTCAGAAGTGGGGATGTTCACTGGCTGCATAATGTTCAGCACTGTTTTCAACTCTTCAGATACTGAAGAACTCTAGGGTGGTCTGTCTCACCTCATTTTGGTTGGAATTGAAGTTAATTTTGTAAGAGCGTTCTTGCAACACAAGGTGCCATTCAAAACTAATTCTGTGTATATTTTATTAGTATATTTTTACAGTGTTGATTAGAACCTCTTGTATTAGTTCAATTCTTATTAATTGTGGTTTTAGGATGAACATTCATTTAATGAAGAAGAGAAGGAAAAGCTACAAGCTGCACTCTCTCTGGAAAAACAAGATCTCCGTTTGGTGCTGGAAACTGTATCTTTTATCCTGGAACAGGTGAAATTATATGAAATTGCATTTTATAAATGTTTGGATTTGCTCACCTTCCTTTTCTTGGTTTTGATTAATGTTTTCAAGGTCTTAACAAAACCATTCCACTGAATAATGTTGCATTTTATAAAAGTTGTAAAGAAAATAAACCATTCACCTTGTGGTATATTATGGTTTAAAATGGTGGAGTTTAGTTTGTGTAAATTGTCAACACACGTTGAATTGGCTAGTGATTACTGATTGAACTGCGATATCATTCATGTGAGCCAAATGTTGAGCATTTAAAGTTCCCAAAATTAGGACAGTAGAATTCCTGACACTTTCTAAGCCCTTTTCTGAAAACTATCTGGTGTTTTAAAATTAATGATTCCTTGCAAAGTTTCTGTGTTTTAACTGCTAACCACAAACGTTCTCATGTTTTTCTTTCTGTACCGCCTGCTATTGAGTAAGTGGCATTAAGGTAAGGCAGGTTAATGTATAACTAGAGAAACTGTGCAAGAAGTTTATTTGGTCATTGGAACCAAATTACACCAGGAAACACCTATCAAACCCTTTTTCTGAAGAAGGGTCTAGGCCCGAAATGTCAGCTTTCCTGCTCCTCTGATGCTGCTTGGCCTGCTGTGTTCATCCAGCTCTACACCTTGTTACCTGTCAAAGATAGACAAGTTTCACCTCAACAAAGCTGTGACTGATATCCCTAAACTATCTGAAGATTTCAATCTCTCCTAAACCTTCAGTCTTGCAGATTATACATTTGCTGAGACTCATGACTTTGCCTGAACTGAATTTGGATTGTGCACCGAAGTTTCCAAAGTGTATTAATACCATAATCAGCAGTATTGCTCTAACATTTAGCTTTAGCTTCAGCTTCCAGCATTTTCCTCTTCAAATTGTACCTTAAATCATTCTTAAAAACAAGAGGACTAATTCAGCTTATTCAGGTTTAATTTATGTTGAGTCTGTGTTCTCCTGGGAAAAATGTCACATGCCTGTTGTAACTTTAGTATTCTGAAATTTGCAGAAATTTGAGAGTTGGATGAATCTTTGTTCATGCTGGTGCTCAGTTTTCAAAAGCAAATACCCAGGATGCTCAAAGCAAATATTTTTCACCTTAGCTCTTCTAGTAGAAAAAATAACAGCAACTTTTTTAGTAATTAACGAGTTAACAAGGAAATGAGACCCACACTGGTTGACACACTTCCCAAAATACTGCGTGTAAGTATTATTTATACAGTTTTTCCAAATAATTTTGAAAGCTTTAGGACTGAAACCGTCAGAAACTAGACAAAAATTTTCCATCAGTGTAAATTACCACTGATGCCAAAACATCCTGGGAATTTTCCCTAAATACTCAGAAAATAAAATCCAGATTCAATTCACTACATTGCCACTCTGTAAAATATATCAAATTCAAGCTTGTTGGAAACATGGGACCTCTTAAAGTAAGCATTTTAATGAATAAAGTAGAAGTGGCAACTCAGACAATATATTTCATCAAAATGTAAGAGATACTTTTTTTTTCTGTTTTAAATCTGCAGTTGAAATATTACTGAGGTAAAAAGGTAGATGAAAGTATCTTGTCAGATTTGTGGTGGCTGGGTTACATTGAAAGCTGTATTTATATGGGGTGGAGGTGATATTATAAACATGGATAGATGAATTGATAAGAGACTCATTGACATTTACGGTGTAGAAAGATGCCATTTGGCTTATTGTTTCCAAAATAGTCAACAAAGATCTGAGTAATCCCATTTTTCAGCATAATCCATAGTCTGGGAGGATGTAGAATTGCAAGTGAAAATCTACATATAGTGCAAATGATATAAGAGTTTTTGAGCAAGCACCCTTTTAGGCAGTGAGTTCCGGATTCCAACCATTCTCATAGTGAAAAGAAATTGTCCTTAACTCTCTTTTGAATCTTCTATCTCTTAACTTAAATCAACACACCCTGGTTATTGACCCTGTACTAATGGAAAAAGTACCTTCCTATCCAACATATCTATTCCCCTCATAATCTTAAATATCTCTATCATGTCCCCTCTAAAGCTTTGGTGCTCCAAGGAAAACAGCCTCAACTAATCCAAGCTTCCTTGTAGCTCAAATTGTCCACCCAGGCAGCATTCCGGTAAATAGTGAGGAGAAAGTTGACAAAACTGTAACTTATAGACTGGACAGTATAAATCTATGTTACTCCAACCAGAAATATTTGTAGATGTAGTGGTTGGAGGGTAAAGGTGAGAAGTGGGTGTGGGTCTCATCAATGCCCTATAACTGAAGCATGACTTCCCCTACTTATATATTCAGTTCCCCTTGCAATATGGTGTATATACATACTAACATTTTACAAATCGTGCACTAGAACACCAGATTCTTCTGCATCTCTCAACATTTAGATGATTTTTTTTCTCTTTTTTTCTTACCATAATGGACAATTTCACATTTTTCTACATAATGTTCAATTTGTTAAATCTTTGCCCAAGCACTTAACCTATCTGTATCCCTTCACAGCTTCCTTACATTCACATCACAACTTACTTCTAGACCTCTCTGTGTCATCAGTTGCACGTAACCATACCTTCAGTCCTTTCATCCAAATCATTCATATACATTGTAAAGTGTGGTAGCTCAGCAATGATCTCTGTCGCACACCACTTTTTACATCTTGTGAACCAGAAAACTATCAACGGATGCCTACTGTCTATTTCCTGTTAGGTCGCCAATCTTCTATCCATATCAGTGGGTTATCCATGTACCATTCATTTTCCGGAATAGTCTTTGATGTGAAACTTTATCAAATACCTTGTGGAACTCCAGTACAGTACATCTGTTGGTTTCCATGTATCCACAAAATATGCCACTTCCTCAAAGAAGTATAATAAATTGGTTAAACATGATTTCCTTTTGACATTGTGTTGACTCTGCCCAAATACCTTGCCCTTTAAGTGCCCTGCTATATTGACTCTAAACACAGTACTTAACATGCTCCCTATTATGGTTATTTAGCCACTTGGATTGTCGTTTCCTGTTTTTATCTCCCTACCTTTCCCAGTAAAAGAGTTGTATTTGCTATTTTCTATTCTAATTGTACTTTCCCTGAAACTTCGAAATTTTGGAAAATCAAAAAAACTGCATTAACTATCACTAGCCACTTTTAAGTGGCTACAATGAGTTAGGATAAGGATGCACCCCATCAGGACCTGGGGACTTGTCAGCCTGCCTCTCCAGCAATTTGCTCAATACCACTTCTCTGATATAGTAATTTTCTTTAGTTTGTCCCTCACTTCTATTTGCTGATTCCCAACTACTTTTGGGATGTAACTTGCATCCTTCATGATTAAGTCAAATTCAGAATGCCTGTTTATATCATCTACCATCTCTTTACTTTCCATTATTATATCCCTACACTCACTTTCTGTAGGATCAACATTCACTTTGTTAATGTTTCCCTTTTTAAATATCTATGGAAACTCTTTGTTTTTGTATATTTCTAGCTAGCTTTCTACTCTAATTTTTCCCTCCTTATTCATCTTTAGTCAATCTTTGCTGTTTTTTATATTCTGTCCAATCTTCTGGTCTGCCACCAACCTTTGCACAATTTCCTGCATTTTCTTTAAATCTGATACGATCAACTGTTGCCATAATCTTTTACGCCCAGTTCTGAATGGAATGTGCCTGAAGTACCCATCATTCCTTGATGATCTTTGTTGGTCAACTGATGTCATATCCCATTCTCAGACTAATACCACTGTTCTCAAGAGAAAAATCTCACCTCCTTCAAAATCTCGTCTTAACTAGTAACCATTGCCCAGAACTAGCATTCATGGTGTTTGGTGCAATTTCTAAAAGAGCTGTTCTGCTATTGTAGATAAGTGTGTGGCATTTAATTAATTAATATTTAGGTTAAGTGCAATTGGACGCATTGGTTGTATCAGTCTAGATATTCTGCTGGCTTCGGTGTGATGAATAACAGCATCTGTAAATTAAATAATCATGTCTATGCTGAAATATTTTTTAAAAAGTGCTGTTGCACTTCCATCAACTATTTATTTGAAAAGTTCTCAAAAATCTGTGGAATCGGTTTTAACAGAAAGGAGGTCATTTTGCCTATTAAATCGATGCAAGTTCTCCATCCCATTGCACAACATTATCCCAGTAGCTCTCCAATTTTATTTCCTTCAAGTACTGGTCCACTTTACTTTTGAAATCATGAATTATCTCTGCAGTGCCTTACTCGTCTCTGTTTTGAATTTTCACTTTACTTGTATGTCTGTTATCAGGCAGCCTATTACAACATGAAACCCATTGCTCTTCAACAACAACTGGAAAATATTCACCTGAGTCAAGAGAAGGCTGAAGCTTTTGCCCAGGCCTGGACAAGTATGGGCCAAGATGTTGTTGAAAAATTGAGGCAGAATACGTTTGCTCCTAAAAAGGTAATATAAGTTGAGAAGATCAGAATTAATTCGAGTGCTGGGATTTTCGTGGGAAAGGAAAGAATTTGTATGTAAATATCTCACAAAAATTCAAATGTACTTCACATGCAGTGAATTGCTTTGAAGTAGTTACCGTTTATTGCCGCCATGTACAGCAGAGAAACAAATGATTAATTTCGCATCACTTGTTTCAAAACGTCTGGCATTGTTCTATCAAAAAATTTAAAAGATCCTAGCTTAAGTTACAGTTTTAGGGCAGAGAAGTAAATGAAAGTCCAAATCACTATTCTGCATTTTCTTAGCATATGTTGTAAATGAAAGCTTACTGGGGTGAATTTGGTCTTCAATAATTGCACAAGACGGGTATGAATAAACAGCAGCCTGTTTTACATGACACACAAATTTCTTTTCCATTTAATTTGACATAAAAAAAAATTGTCTCATTGAGCTCATTAGGAAGCTGGATAATCTTAATTTGCTAATTCCCTGTATGCTGAAATACAAACTCTTTCATGCAAAGAGAACAAAGGCCTCTATTAAATTTTCTGTGGTATTGCACATGCTTAGGTGAGACCAATTGCTTTATTAAGTCAGGCAGGATTATAATGTAGGGCTGGACAGTCTGACCAAGGTGGGAGATATAGAGGAGGCAGACACAGAAATCTGAATTATTATTCTAATGTCAAACATCTATTCTGCATAAACATCTTAAATGTGATCATATTTGCAGCTTGAAAAAGTTGGGTTCTGTCTTAACCTTGAAATGGGACATTCAACACAAGCCAAAGTGAAGTCTCCTCTTGCTGTTCTTGAGCTTGGAGTCAACAGTGACAACTCTGAGGTAAATGAACCAAATATAATAAACAGAAATGCTAATTGTAAACACTTGAAATACTAATTGAGTGTTTTGCATTATACAACTGTAACTATTCAGACATATATTTCAGTGTTCAAAAACAAAGTTCTGGAAAAGCTCAGCAGGTCTGGCAGCATCTGTGAAGGAGAAAACAGAGTTAACGTTTCAGTTCTGAGGAAGGGTCACCGGACCCGAAACGTTAACTCTGTTTTTCCCATCACAGATGCTGCCAGACCTGCTGAGCTTTTCCAGCAACTTTGTTTTTGTTCCTGATTTACAGCATCCGCAGTTCTTTTGGTTTCTATATACTTCAGTGTTATTTGTATTGTGTGTCAGTCTCTCCAGTAAGGATAGCCCACTTAGTCTCTTTGCACACTTCCCTCTTGTTTAAATACACTTGATTGTTCACCACTTCTCACTGCTTTCTGTCCCTGAATCCATTTTGTATCTTCGCCACCAGTGTTCCTTTAATAGAAAAGGAGGAGACCATTCAGCCTTTTGAGCCTGCTGTGCCATTCAGTTAGATCATGGCTAATCATCTACGTCAATGCTACTTTCCGGTAATATCTCCATACTGCCTGATGTCATTAGTCTCCAGAAATCTATTGATTTTAGTCTTGAACATGTTGAATGAATTGAACTTCCACAATCCTTTGTGCTGGAGAATTCCAAAAGTTTACGCCACTCTGAGTGAATAAGTCCCTCCTTGTCACAGCCTTAAATGGTCATCCCCTTATTCTGAGATTATGTCCCCTAGGTCTAGACTCACCAGTATGGGGAGCCATCTTATCTGTATCTATACTGTGACATCTTGCAATGGTTTTGTAAGTTTCAATAAGATCCCCATCATTCTTCAAAATTCAAAAAAAATGTAGACTGAAGTTCCTCAATCTGTCCTGAAGAGACAGTTCTGCCATTAAATGAGTTAGTTTGTTGAGCCACTGTTGCACTCCTTCCACAGTATATCCATCCTTTGCTAAGGAGACCAGAACTGTACACGGTACTCCAGGTGGAGTCTTGCTAAGTCTTCAATCCTCATGCATGAATCATAAAAAGCTAGCAGACAGGTTCAGAAGGAAATAGGGAAGGCCAGTGAGCTGTAAGCCTTTATTTCAAAGGGAATGGAGTATAAAGATAGGGAAGTCTTGCTAAAGCTATACAAAGGACTAGTTAGACCACAACTAGAATATTGTAAACAACTTTGGTCGACTTATCTAAGAAGATGCTGGCATTGGAGGCAGTTTAGAGAAGGTTCACTAGGTTGATTCCTGTTATGGAGCGTTTTTTTTTTATGAGGAGAAATTGCACAGATTGAGCCTGTACTCATTGCAGTTTAGAAGAATGAGAGTTCGCCTCATTGAAACATCCAAGATTCTTAGGGGGCTTGACAGGGTAGATGTGGTATAATTTGAGAAGTACTCTTGACTGTAAGTAAGTCATTAACAAGACATTCAATGGTGTTACCATCACTGAATCCCTCACTATCAACATTCTGGGGGTTACCATTGATTAAAACTCAACTGGATTCACTATATAAATACAGTGGCTACAGGAGCAGGTCAGAGGCTAGGAATACTGAAGTGAATAACTCGCCTGCTGATTGCCCAAAGCCTGTTCACCATCTGCAAGGCACAAGTCAGTGATGTGATGGAACACTCCCTACTTGCCTGGAAGAGTGTAACTCCAACAACACTCGTGAAGCTTGGCACCATCCAGCTCAAGGCAATCCATTTGATTACCAGCACATCTCCAATCATCCACCATTGATGCTGTGTAGCAGCAGTGTGTACTACCTTCAAAATGCACTGCAGGAATTCACTAAAAATCCTTAGACAGCACTTTACAAACCCATGACCACTTCCATTTAGAAGGACAAGGGCAGCTGAGATATGGGAACACCACTACCTACCTGCAAGTTCCCCTCAAAGCCACTCATACAACCATAAGACCTAGGAGCAGAATTATGACATTCGGCCCATCAAGTCTGCCCTGCCATTTGATCATGGCTGATATGTTTCTCAACTCCACTCGCTTGCCTTCTCCCTGTAACCCTTGATCCCATTAACAATCAAGGACCTATCTACCTGTGTCTTAAAAACACTCAATGAATTAGTTTCCAAAGCCCTCTGCAGCAATGATTTCCATGGATTAACCTCCCTCAGGCTGAAGAAATTTCTCCTTATCTCAGTTCTAATGGGTCATCCCTTCACTCTGAGGCTGTGCCCTCTGGTCCCACTCTCTCCTACTAGTGGAAACATCTTCTCCACCTCCACTGTATCCAGGCCTCTCAATATTCTGGTAATTTCAATCACAAGCCCTCTGATCCTTTTAAACGCCATGAAGTACAAACCCAGAGTCCTCAACATCTCCTGATATGACAAGCCCTTCAAACCCATGGGCATTCTTGTAAACCTCCTGTGGATCCCCTCCAATGCACATCCATCTTTAGATACGGGCCCGGAACTGCTCTGTATTCCAGATGCCATCTGACCAGAGTTTATACGGCCTCAGCAGTACATTTCTGCTCTTGTAATCTAGCGCTCTTGAATGTCCGGACTGAGCGTGACCAGGCGCTGACACACAGCCGGATGCAGGCTCTTGGCCAAATGGCTGCAATTGTTAAAGAAACCCAAAGGTAAATGCACATACAAGACAGAGACTGAACACATTGTGACTTTAGTTTTTTTTTAAGAAGCCTTGTAGGTTACATTTTAAAACCTGTTCTGAGGAGCTGTAATAAATCTTGTGGTATAGTG